AATAAATGAATACAATGATTTTTAACCACTTTGTTGTTCAGATATATCACATATTTGTAACTAAATGATACATGAATTGAAACAAAACACAGTTTAAACTGAGGAGTGACTCTCGTGAAGTTTCATTTTATTTCTCACTCCGCTGGGGTACTGCTCTCAAAACCCAGTTAGATTAACATTCATTGGATTGCACACTTTGTTTGTTTGTGTGGATATGTAGCACATTAACATTTTAATAGCACTTAATGACTGACTGAATGGAAATGACAGTAAATGAAAATATAAAACGAAAAAAGCGATCATGAAAATGTTTCCAATAAATGAATAAAATGATTTTTAACCACTTTGTTGTTCAGATATATCACATATTTGTAACTAAATGATACATGAATTGAAACAACTTAAACTGAGGAGTGACTCTCGTGAGTTTCATTTATTTTCTCCCCTCCGCTGAGAAACTACTCTCATGTCAAGAACAAGAAGCATGAGATCAGTGCATGCACTGCATCGTCCAATCAGTGAGCGATACACAGTAAGGGGGCGGGGCGAGTATCTGAGGATTTAATCGGAGGATGGACTGGTGGTTCCTCGATTATCGCTCCTCCATTATCACTCCTCGCTCCTCAATCCTCGGTCCTCCGGCAGAAATAAGAGCCATGGGACGGTACTCAAGATGGCGCAGACAAATCAACTTCCGGTGAGACGGAGGAGCGAGGAAATTAAAATAGTCGACCTGAGACAGGGCCTCTGTCTGAAAATGTGCTATATAGATAAACGTACCTTACCTAAATTAAAATGTAGTTTTTAAAAATAATTTTGTTTTTCAATACGTTCAATGCCAACAAAAGATATCATGTGTACAGTAGTTTAAATTGGCTTATTTGTTTGAATGAATAGATTGACAAGAAGATATGACTGTTAGGCCTGTAAGATCAATATGAAGCTATAACCAGGAGATCAGTCTAGCTAAGCAGAAACATTGGAAGCAGGGGGAAACAGTTAGGCTGTGTCTGAAAAAGGCTTAAAACCAACATTTGCATCTTCTCATCTGGAAAATGACTCTAATTCGAAAAAGATCTAACTGTTTCTTTAAGAAACTAAGGGTTCAACAAGGCGCTTACCTGAACATTTCAAAAGCATTAGAAAACCCATATCAACAATTTGGTCAAACTTTATTTAACCATATTTTCTAGCTTACCTTATAGTAGTAGTGAGTTGTTGCCCATCAAGACCAGTTCCCTCATCTATAGTGAGAGACAAGGCTCCAAGTGTGGTCCAGTGCTCGGGGTCGCAAGGGTATCGGCCCATGAGGATGTTGCCCCTGGCCTCCTCATACAGGAGCCTGAGCACTCCCTCATCCTCTATCTGCTCAGGAGCGAGACAAACACAATAATCCTTCAATCATCAGGAAAATAAGAGTCCAAGTTCCTTGTGATGAACAACAAGCATTTAATAATTAGCTTATATCAAATATTATTGAATGTATTTGACAATAATACCTGCAGTTCTTTAGATTTAGGATAATACACGTTCCGACGATACTGGAGACACGGTTCATCTGAGGAAGAAGCAGAGGACCATGATTTATTAGAGTGGAGGCGACCTTGTGTATTTTAAATTAGTACGATCGTCACTGTTGGAGATTAAGCCCAGCCTCCCAGAGTGGAAGGAGAGAGGGTTAAGACAAACACTGTGATAGACGCAGGAGTATCTAGCATATCTAATCCTGTACTCCTAAAAAGTAAGTAACAGCATTTAAGTGATTTTGCAATATATTTGTGATACTACTTTTGTATGTTAGTGCTTGTTGGGGAATATTTTGCTTAGGTATCTAACCTTTAACCCAGTCCATCACTGTCTCCTGTCCCATGGCATAGGTCTACGGCCTCGGGGTATTGCTGCTATCTCTCTTAAGAAGGAGCAGCTCTGGCTCCTTCTGGTTGCCGAGCAAAAGCTGACCTGAGATAGTTTATCGTTTGTGGACATCTGGGAGTCCTTCTTATCAGGTGCGTAGGTCCCACTGGCGTACATTCTTTGGCCATGAACAACAGTTTTAGGCCCCGTCCACACGGAGACGATATCAGTTGAATCCGCTAACATTCTCTATCGTATAGACAATCTCGTGTAGACGGACACGTTTCTTGAGCCGATTCTGTGTGGACCGAAGACTTTTTAGACATCGAATTTGGTTCGTCTCCGTGTGGACGGGGCCTTAGTTTGATTTAGTGCCCTGTTTGTTTAGTCTTGTTAATGAAGAATGTTGATAATACACTCTGAGTCTGAACTAGTTAAAACCTCTGTATACGGAAAGAGATCTTCAGAATTGGTCGGGCAACCGCTGCGTCAACTCGTGGCTGCAGCACATGTCTTGTCAATTCTCTGGCCATAACTTCATAATAAACCATCAGTGTTTTCACTGTATCCAATTTTCATTACAGTGCTAAGCTGTCACTGTTGTGTTTTGCGACATTTGCAATGCCACATGGACAGCTCTGTATGCTAGGCTAGTAGTTTCTTTTAAAAACATACACTGTATCCTTTGTAGACTTTTTTGGACAGGATTGGCCAACATACTGTAGACACTGCTTAACTGATCAGGGTCACTGAACAGCCATAATCCCAACAACGAAAGCTGACATAATTGTGGTTACATAAGCACATAAACGCAGCAATATATGGACCAAAAGCTCACCTTGTGAAATGTCTTCCTCTGAGGCTTCAGTAAAACGATACAGCAAGTCCTGCCACTGACGACACAGCTTGTATGGTTGATGCCTAGCCTTTAACTGTAATTCTGAGGAGGAAGAAAATGTAACAAAGTGAGAGGTGTCCATTTTTCTGCTGTAAATATAGTGTGTTTTGCTGTTGTAATACTTGAGATACTTAGATCTAAGGAAGGTAATCTTGTTTTAAGAGTAAAGTTCAATGGTAAAGGCAAAACCACAATGTCAAATCAATAGTTTGCTGTGACTGAACTGATTTTTAAACTTAATTATTCATGCAAAATTAATTAAACATACTGTATTGAACCTGCTTGTAGCATTTTATTGCTAATCCAAGCAGTATTGTACTGTATAATGCCTGTTTTATTTCCGCTTGTTCAGGCACAAATTCTACACAGAACATCCCACACACAACATGCTACCATAATCACATACTGAGTAATATTTTGTAGCCAGAATGTGATGTTTTATTCAAGAAAGTAGGATTAGTATACACATATTGCCAGATGAAGCATCACAGCCTTAATTACTGTAGAAAGTGTGAACAAAAAAAAGTCCTTACCGAGCAGGGGAGAAGACAACCAAAGTGCAAAAGCATCCTGTGCAGTCTCAGGAATATGGAGAGCCTCACGAACACTGCGGCCCAACTCCTGCACAGAGACACTGCCAAGCCCTTCTACTGTTAGGTGCACAGCGCTGTCACCACAGAGGTATACAAGCACATCTTGAGCTGTGTGAACAAACACAAATGAACACAAAAATAAACAAATATAAAGAGACAAGTAAGCCAAAGAGAAAAAAAGAACATATCGAAATAATGCATATTAGTAATCTTTGAGTGATTTTACCCTCCATGAGTTACATTATTAATATATAAGCTGAGGCGTACCACGGGAGAGAGTTGCAGAGGAAGCAACACTTCCTCTCTGCGAGTGACCATCTGATGAATCAGGAGGAAAACTGCAGTCGTCTCCGTCCATCTCTACTCTGCAGCACAATGGCCAAACACAAAAGTTATCACAATACACAGCAGCATTACGTGTACAATACAACATATTTTGTTTACGGCTTAAGAAAGTCAGAATACATGAACTGAAAAAGTAGTACATATAAATGTGGATGTGTGAGATGGCCAGACAGGAGGAGGAAAAAAATCCCTGATATTTAGTATATATTTATTTGTGTGAAAGCTCTGCATGTGGTAGTTTTCAGGTTTACAGTTGTTACCTAAATGCACACATGCCACTATCTTTAGCTCACTTCTATCTATGCATAATGCATTACTCATGCAAGCTTCCTAAACTGCCTGATGTGGGACATTACATTCATAGGGCCTACTTGTATGTACATGGGTGATGGGATTGGACTACTTAAGTGTGCTATTTCTCAGCACAGAACTTTATAATGTTCAAAAAGCACAATTATCTATGTACAGTAAATAGGTTTGTGTGTTGACAAGACAGATATCAGCAATATTCCTGGTGGGGTCTTCCACAGGGACATGCCACTTCATCCATGACCTTCAGTCATATCTGAATAATCAAGTAATCAGCTAATTTAGTTTCACTATGCACCAGCGCCACCATTTGGCAGTAGCCTAAACAAACAGAGACCCTGTGTACAATCACAACACCCCAGTCGACTACTGTTGACCTCACCCTGTGAAACCAAATTCATAGTCGCCCCGGCATGTCAATGATATTCAGCAGCGTTTTTATGTTAAGGGCTTTAACTAGAGATATGATAGCATAAATACAATGAGGATATATATATATATATATATATACATACAGAGAGAGACATATCAACTAAATGATGACCCGTGGTACAAGGGCTAACTAGCTAACTTCGTACCATAGCTAGCTTTACATGCCATCTCAAACAATGTTTAAAATACATACTCAACCCCACGGAATTCACGAAATATGCCTTGGCATTAAGGCTAGTGAAGCGACCTTGCTAGCTAAAGGCGTATTAAAACACACACAAAACATCGTGAAACTAAGATAAAACAAAACGGTTCACTTATCACTCCATGACGAGTTTGTTACTTTGGTTGTTAGTTAGCTCCCCAATGGTGTTTTTCACAACAGTCTAAGATCATGTTAATAGCAGGTACAGGAACGAAATGTCTCCGCTGTCCACCTACCTGCCAGTTTAAGTGAATTCCCCTCCACTTGCTGTTATGCGGATGGGAAGGCTATTATTGTAAATACTGCAGCTAAGTACATTAGCTAATCAACGGTTAGATGAAACTCCCCCAGTCACGGCTCGCCAGCTTTCCGGGCAACCGCAAAAGTTAGAAGTTGTGTGACTAGAGAACCATTCGCTCACTCTGAACGGCTCTTTACTGGGTGTGACTCTGAAAGACTTAAAACACCCCTTTTATAGAGGTATGCATGCACGTAGAAGACAATAAAACAGCTAAGAGAAAATATGTTCAAAGTGTTAGTCGGGGGATGATTTTAAATAATATAACCAAATTACAGACGGTGTACAGTTTGAACGCTTTTACCAAGAACAGGCTCAAAAAGGAAGGATCTCGAGAATGAGTCGAATATCCCAGCGCGCGCGTTGTTAGCTCCCTTCGTCATTGAAACGTCATTACGTCTGTATACGTGGGCACGCAGGCAGATACAAGTCATTTATTACCTGCCTAGTAGGCTGCAGTGTGGCTACTGTTAAAAAACACAGGCCCTTTATAAACTAAATACTTTAATATACCTCATTCCATTAGTCATACATAACTTTCATTACAATGCTAGTACTCAGGGGACTTTGTTATGTTTTAGCCTGTTATGATGTTTTAGCCTGATAGTAGTATACCTGAATATGATTGACTACTTGGGTAGAAGACTAAGAGGTATGCATGTCTCCAGAAAATCATTCAAGACAGTCATGTTTTTAAAATAATCTTTATTTAAGCTATTTACATGGGTTGATATTACAAATTGTTTCTGTTGTTTCTGGTAATAAAGAGAGTGAAGTAAAATTACCTGTTATATTAAATGAAGTGCCCAGGGACATGAGTGTAGTACACAAACTTCTCATCCAAATTTGAAAAGTAAGATCTCAATATTATATTTGTTCCTGTTCTTAGATTTTCATAAGCAAACGCAGGGGCAGGGGCAGGGGCACAGTTAACTGTCCATCCTAAATCCACCTGACGCAGGAGTCCAACTGCTAGGGCAGCAAATTGAGTATTAACAAATGGGATCAAAGGCTTTAGCAAGGTTTCCTAACAGGGGACACACTTAATGACTTTAGATGGATTACTGACATTGATTATATCAATATTCATAATCCTATCGCTTTCACTAACAGGGAGAAGAAAGGCAGAGATATGCATCTTGAAAAACGTTTTGTGGTTGGGTATCTTTTCTGATGATATACAGTATGTGGTTACAATGAGGAATGTTTTCTTTTTATATGTGCAATTCATATGAATAAGTATTTTTTATATATATTTAAGTCAAAAATTAGCATTCATTTGTTGCACTCTCAGTGTGAAAAAATATTCACAAGTGGGTGTTTAGGGGTCAGCTGGGGCTTCAGAAGAGCCCTCCCCCACCTGGTTCTTAAACAGGAAGAACTGCATCACAGGTTCAATGAACTCCATCACAGTGTCTTTCACTGATTTCTCCAGCAAGTACCCTTCTGTCTCAATCTCTGTGTTTTCATTCTCTGCCACTGCCTCCATGGCCGTCTGCAGGAACCGCAAGCTCACCAGCACAGAGCCCTGGGAGAGAGGAAGGGGAAGAAATTAGGGAAAAGAGTTGTCAAGCAGATTCCATTAGAGAGCATCATCAAGGATCCAAATTGCAGTGGTAATTGATGGATATGCATAGATGTACCGGTAAACATCAGACCCTAAGAATAAGTGAGGAATAAATTGAGGTCCAACAAGATTGTTATTAAAAACGTAAAACAATGTTGCATACTGGTTTTAAAACAACTTGGTTGCTGTACCAATGCCTAGGAATCAGTTGTATTCCTCAACGATACTCCAAATTGAAAGGCTCACCCCAAACTTTGCCTGAAATCCCTGTGAAAAACCACTGTAATTATTGTGTCGTATACCTGCAAGAGGAAGACTGACAGTACTCCAGCCCCAATGGTGTTCATCAAGCCCATGAAGTAGCTGACCAGGGCCTCTCTGCAGCCTCGGAGGTACAGGTTGAGTTCCTCCGTTTGGTATTCATAGTTGAAGTGAGCTGAGTTGTTTGTCAGTTGATACTGGATGCATGGCCGTGGAGAGCTGGGGTTACAGCAACTGAATGGGACTCCATCCAGCAAGTAACGACCATCCACGTTGCTCTTGATGCGGCTAAGAAAGAACAAATTGTGGTTTTTCAGAGCTCATATATACAGTAGGCCTACAGTAATCTAACATATTGTTTTTCGATAAACATCCACAAATGGTGAACCCATTAAACCGAACTCTATAAGAATTGTAAAACCCAAGAATGAGTCAGCATTTTTGCACTTCTGGTTCCCTTGTCACGATAACATCGTTTTTTTTTCTTTGTTTGTGTTTCATTTCTTGGTTGGATGCCTGAAATAAGGTCTGTGCTCAACACAAGTTTAAATGATTTTCACATTTAATTTGGACAGACAGGGAACCTCACCTAAGGGGTATTGATGTTGTAGTCATATGATTGTTGTGTATGTTTTTAGGCTAATGCTTTTTACTTCGGACATTTACCAAATGAAAAAAAAAATTATTTGAGAAAATAATCTCCTAAACATGTGTCTGCCTCATAGTTTATTTTCTCCAATAATCCAAAAGAAAAATCCCATGTTTTTTTTGTCAAGGAAAACATTGTAATGCTTACTTCTGGGTTGGCCTACAACTGTGCAGCACTATATAATAGTGTGCTAAACTTACTCTTTCACTTCCTTAGAGCTGAAATCAAGGTAGCGGTTACTGATCCACTGGACCTCAAACCAGTCCCTGAAGTCATTGTTTCCACAACACCGAAACTCCATTTGCAGGCGGTCGATGTTCTGTTTCTGGAAGCAGCGGCCCGGGGTGTCTGTGTCCTTGTAGAAGCGGATGCCGTTCTTCAGGCCGACCTTCAGAGATGACTCCAGACTGCCCTTCATTGCATAGCTCAGGATGACAGCAAGCAGCATGAGGACAGTGAAGAAGCAAGAGATGGCAAAATATGGCTTTAGCATGTTCTTCCAGCGAGGAAATCTCTCGGCGTCCAGAGCATCCTGACAGATCTTTGAAGCAAAGATGTTGATACCCAAAGAGGCCAGACCAACAATCATGAGAGTGTTTGGCACAACATGTACGTCTGAGTTATCCATAACCTGTAAATAAGTCAAACAATAATATCAACAAAAAATATTTCATTTGTTTGCTGTAAGGAAACATCAGCCTTACTAAGAATGAAACAGAGTCTTTATACAAAGCTATGAAAACGTGCTCTTGTTTCAAACTATAGAACCTGATAATGGGTGCTATTTGCCTGAAATTCCCAAGAATGTCCCCTAAAATACAACTATAAAACACAAAAGTTCTACCAGACTTGAGACATAGTTGTCTTTACAACTAAAGCTTTATGTTACATGCCATTTTTAAAATATTCAGGATTCTCTTATCCTCATTCTTAATAAATATCTTTACTACAAATCATAAGATAAAATTACGTGTAAACTACAATGCATTGCAATATACATTGTAATATGAGAACAATTATATAAGCTTCATGGATTCTGTAATTTATTCATTTACCCGCACTTACACAATCCTGCAAACAGACAGCCATCAGCTTTTCAAAGCATGCATCAATCAAAGAAGATCAAAAAGTCCCTTTCTTGACGCTAAATTCTTATGATTTAGAATAATTATTTTGGGGCAGAAAATGCAAAAAACAAAGTTGCAAATGCATAGTTGTGCAAAGATTATGTTTTTGAGGCTGCAAATAATTAATATTAGCAACCATCTAAACAAAACTATAGGTTTGTTATTAATACAAAATGAGGATGACAGCATTCAGGAGTAGGGGTTAGGCTGACTGTGAGTGACAAAGCCAGCTTCCAAATTATGAGTCAGAATCCAAAGTGGGTCACAGGTGTTTTTACCACCTGTTAGTCTCCATCAAGGACATTTCTTGGACAGTATATTATATTTAATGTATCCCATAAGACACTTTTACGCAATGTCATGTATTAAATTGTAACAGTTTAAAGGTAAGACAGGCACAGAGGGTATCTTGAGGTTATTCATGAAAATCGGCAAATGAGTCACTGCATCACAAAACTGATGTTCCTCACTGTAGGTATGTATGTACTGAATAACTTTATGAGGTTATCTGTGTTCTCTGTCAAAAATATAATCAGACCAACTTGGCGTGTCGTTGTTTCCACGAATATCAGTAACAAAGTGGGATTACTTGCGATAACTTTAACAATTAAACCATAAGTAAATACTCTACTGATTTTTGTATTTGGTTGATAACTCCCTTTAGAATTATAGTCTTTAAATGTAAAACTTGATTACCTCTGCCCTCCTGCGGAGCTCAGTCTTGAGGATGCAGCCCAGGGTGAAGGTGATGGCCCCGGCCACTGTGGCACACCAGGAGAGGAGCCACAGTCCCTGGGCTAGCTTCACCCTTTTCTGAAAAGGGAACTTCATCTTCATCACCACCATGGCTGCAGCCTGGGAATTCGGGTCTTACCAGGGGAATAGGGGAAGGACAGGGACGAGGCAACGAGTGCCGATGCTGCGGTGCTTTGTCTGCGAGGAAGAAGGAGAGGTCAGATGCAGGGCACTGAGGCTGGAAAAGCTAAGTTCAACACTAAATACACACAAATAAACTCAAAGAACACATGGAAAATAGTTTTGAAAAATATGTTATAAAGGATATAAATCCTTGGAGAGTAACGTTTCAAAGCTGCAGAAGTAGTGCATCTCCAATATAAAACATATTTCACAGCATGACAATTCACCTTTTAATGTCTCCCCAAAAAGTGCTGAAAAAGTCCAGTTATCTCCACTGACCACCGTGTACCACACAGTGGATTTGATATACTGGATTTGGTGCACCTTGATGCAGGGAGCTTCTTACCACTAATACCTACCTATCCAATTAAACTTGTCTCTGAATCCAGGCCATTGTCTGCTCAGCACCCATCACACACACTGAGGGACATGGAGGACAAAACAAATCCAACCTGACAGGAAGATGGATATACAGTATATCTATAAATATATTACCTGTGTTACACATACCATAAATACACAATTTTAAATGGATCTGGAATTCATTTGTTATTAATGTTACATATTTCATATTTAAAAAAGGCAATATTATATGATATCC